CCAATTTCTAACCCTGCGTGTCAACAGATTTGTTAAAGAGCTGTATCCAGCCAAACCAAGAGTTGGATAATGTCACAACCAATATCTGCTCCCAAGACATTCAACGGCAAATTGGGACATGTCATAGACCAGATCAGACATAATACAAGGAACGATTCCAAGCAGCCTAGGCACATGGATCTTCCCACCCCCAGAAGCATTCCTGGGATCAGAAGGACTCGTCATATAAAGAGACTCCTTAGAAGAAGATTTGTTCCAACCGAGTCAGGGGTACGACAAGCGTCTTCTCAGGAATCTTTTCAGCCCAGACCTACAAGATGCCTATCTTCACGTCCTTATACACCCATCGTCACAGAAATACCTGCACTCATCGTCACAGAAATACCTGCACTTTGCAATTAATGGTCGATGTTATGAGTTCCAGGTCTTACCATTCGGGATATCAATAGCCCCTTGGCTATTTACCAGCATTACAGCTCCAATCAGGTTTGCCCATCTCCAGCTTGTACGAATCCATGGATACCTGGACGATTTCCTGGCTGCAGACCAAGAGGAAGCTCAGTTACACCAGCTTATGACCTACCTAGGCTTCCTAGTCAATCCCTCCAAGTCCGAGACCACTCCGGTTCAAGACATCCTATACATTGGAGCGAGTTTGCAACTACACAAGGGATATCTATGTCCACCAGAGGATTGATTCGTCAAGACTATTACGATGATTCAATCCCTATCAAGGCAACCCAGCAGGTCTCTAAGGTGGTGGATGTCTCTTCTGGGCAACTTTATGTCTCTACAGGATATGACCTTCAGAGGAAGATTGATGTTACGTCCTCAACAGACATGGATCGACTCACTTCTATCCCACAGCCTAGAGTTCAAGACTCAGTTACCTCCCAACTTAATACAGGACCTGCATTGGTGGACTCACAGAGAGCATGTGATGAGTGGCATTCATCTGACCTCCCTGACGCCCAGCACCATCTATTTACAGACGCGTCAGATTTGGGATTGGGAGCCCATTTGGACAATCTCACGGTACAGGGATCTTGGAACACCGGAGAGGGAACCCTTCATATCAACTGCAAGGAAATGAAGGCCATCTATTACACATGGCATGGAACATATGTCTCTCAAAATCATACATCCTCATAGCCACGGACAACACCACAGTACATGGAGGAGAAGCAGCAGCAGCGTTCATCACACTCTTGAAAGTCGGATCAATCATGTGAGGCTGTCTGTACTGGTAATTAGCCTTTGGCGGTCTCCATCTCATGCCACTCACATATCTGCTGTGGTTGTAACTTCCTCAGTATGAACTACCTCCAACAGAGGACACGATGGTGCATGCCTTTATCAGACTGTCAACCACTAAACATTACTATTGTTTTGTAGGGCCCGAAAGATCTTTGACACATCCAGATCCAGCAGCGACCTGACAAAACGTGCAGAATATTCATGCTTGAGGCTGGCCAGTCCAGCAAGTCAATTAAAGGACTGTTTGTAAACGTTTCTGCAACAGAAACTTCTGGATAATATTCAGAGTGGCAAATTCCAAACATGTTTTACCCATTCTATCAATCACTGTAACACAGTCTGGTGGTACCTTACTGTATGCCACTGCCTTCTTAAGACACCACCAATTTGTTACGTCTGGCACATAAGCTATCCACATTGAAGCATATACCACTAACTGATATCTCCTAATGTTTTAGGTTGCAGATGTCTGCAACCACCCATAAATCAAAGACATGAGTTAAATTCACCAACTTTTGTATTCATGCTTAGAACTACAGTTATTGCCTAAACACCCACTTGTTTAGTATACACTACTGCCAAGAAGTTCATTCCCTTTATACTGGTTGATAACACGTGTAACACGCAAGTGACACAGGTTCTCAACAAGATGCACATGGGTGTGCAGCATGTTGAGCCTAGTGAGTCACTTGTTCCATGCGTGTACCTCAAGCCCAGGTTTCAGTTGAATTTGACAAAAAGATGAAATGAATAGTTAGATCAAATAAAACGGTGAGATGTGAATCTTGAGTTAACTCTTTCAACACCAGTCAACCAGAAGTATTTACTGCTGGGACACCGAGTTCCCAGAGACTCTTGGGTGATAGATGAAGCCAACATTTATCAAAGAAAATACCTGCTTGTAAAATATATTTGCTACTACATGTTATACACCATTTGAAAGGTCTGATCCTATGGTTTATAAATATGAAAGTTATATTTTCAAATTATTTAAAATAATGCATTTACAACTTAATTAAATTCGTTGTAAATAAAAAATGTACGCTAACACGTTGTTAACATCCAGATTAAGGACCAAGGAAGAAAAAAAATGACGATTTTCGGCAAATATATGATTTCATAATATCCACGTACCTATTTCTGTTTTATTTTCATTGTTTACGTAATTGGAAAATCATTTTAAAAAGAATTATAAATAGTTTCTGTCATCACCCATTTCCCGATAACAGCGACTGTCCGCTCAGTAAAATGAAGAAATACCCCCGTTTTCTAGGTTTCGTATGAATAACACGTTCGTCGAAGAATGGCATGTGACACATCGCTGGAAAGCTTATTCCTTCATCTACACGCTCGTAGCATCGACTGGTTTTTTTTCGTAGTTATAACAAGCGATTTCATTGGATTAAAATTGGTTTCTAATGACGCTTTCTTGCTGAAATCTGCTACAAGTTTCGTGATTGGTCAATTTTGAGCACGTGACCTAAGGCAGCCAATCAAATTACAGCTGTGATACCAAGCTCGTGTTCGATAAATTACAGAAGTTTGCGAAAGAATTTTGTTAAATCGTGTTATTCTGAACGTTTTGAGCAGGAAATCACGATATATATTAAAAATATGGAACTTCGTGAATGTATCGTGCTAGGTTACGAGCTGTGACAAAGATTTTTCATGCATATATTTTTGCATTAAACATCGTGTCCGAGCCGAGAATTCAAGGCGTCGAAAGCCGAGATGTCATTTGACTTACATTACACGCGATCGCACGAAAAGATGGAAATAATAACTTAGATGTAAGTTTGATTACTTTTAGATATATTTTTGTTGATTTTATTTATTACTTTGTATAATATATTTAAAGATTTGTTTAAAACGTCTTTATTTTCCTCTTTGACGTGTTCGATGTGGACCCGTTGTCGAAATGTGTGTCCGAGAATTTTATTTTCAATAACATCGCGAGAAATAGTGAATAATTTTTTAATTTAACGATAAAAAATGTTAAATTGAAATGGAATATGTATTTCAGACATTGTGAAATGTGATAGATTTAATAAATGAATGACATTACAGGTAGGTCCATAAAAATATATACTATTTTGACGTGACTACGGCTTGGCCGGATAACCGGCCTGCGGTGTCTGGGGACTCGATGCTTCTTGGCCGGATAACCGGCCTACGGTGTTGAAAGAGTTAATGTGCGGCCATTGACCTGTGTTCACCAGACCATAAACACACAGTATAGGTAATGGGGTTTCTGGCTCACTTCCACTGGAGTCAGATTCATATACCTAGACCACCACCACCACAGAGGGAATTTTTTATGCATAAACGCTGATGCGATTCAACGATCATCATGAGACTAAACTAAATTGTAATGAAAATATTCTCTATTATTTTTACTCATACATATACCATTATTTTTAACAAAGTGATATTCATTTTTACTAAGTTCTTCATTCGTTTTACTAGGAGACCAGACTATATACTCTTCTTGGTAATTGGTAATTGTTGTCTCCCCTGTTCTATGAACTTTTTTTTCTCATCTTTGCTAATACCACTGGTCTTACGAGATTTTGATCGAATCTCCTGCTTCATTACGTTGTATTTGGTGAGTTCTGACAAAACTAAACGAAACTCCTCCTCGGATATCTTACAATCAGCCATTGCTGTTGAAATATGGTCCTAAATGCTGTTCAACTTTGCTTCGGCTAATATCCGAATATTATCATGTTTTAAGGCTTTCTTTTGCAACCTACGACAAATAAATTTTATCGCTATTCCTGCCAGTCCTGAGACTCCGGCCGCTATTTCCATGCCAGGTACGATAGGCGTGGCGATTATAGTTTATAATAAACCAACATCGGCTACACCGAGTCCCATGCCAGCTGTTACAAGCGCAGTGTCAACTCTGTTGAGAGCATTCATGGCTCTGCGATACTTTTTATACAATCCAAATCTCAACTCCCTCTCCTTCTCTATTGGATGTTTTATGTCGCTTATTTGATGTAATCGAAATCCATCAACAGTATCTATCTTTTCAGATGCTTCATCGAGCGCTGGATATAAACCCATAATGTATATTATTATGTCATATAATAGCAGTGTCCAACCCAGAATTGAAAATCAAGGGGGGACTTGTCCCCCCGTCATGTAGAAAATAGAAGGGATTTTGAAAAAGTAGGGGGGATAATTGCTTTCTTCAAAAATCCTATTTTGTATTATGTACTGGAACATCATCATATAAAAGTGTAACAGATGAGAATAAAGAACTGAAATGAATAACAATGCTTTGTGCTTTTTTCTATTTTGATTAAAAAAGTCTGTAATTCTTTTGTTTTTGCGCGACATGGTCATTCACTATTCAAAAGATCGGCTGCTATGACAGTCAGCGATTCATATTGTGTGATTTCAGAAACGAAACTAAAACGAACTAAAATGCTCAAAAATATTTTCAGAACTATTCAAGATAGAATGTTTATTGTCTTTAAACATCTTGTCAAAGGTTTTTGATTACTAAACAACAAAATACAACATAATTTTGATCAAAGTTTTGATACGTTTTCTACTTAAGTAAATCAAATTTCGTTTCCTATGCCAATCCTATCGATAATTTATTCAGCAACCGAAGGGACGTCACTTGTGTTCGAACTTCCGGTTGTTATCGATCGGTCTTCGACAGTTGTTTACAATATTTGCTTTGAACTGTCTTTCTTCATTAATTGATTAAAGATTTAGTGAGTCAGTGTCTGCTCTGGCTTAAATTTTCTTGGGGTCACTTGGACCCCTTCATCATAAAATTAGGGGTCCCAGAAAAAATGGAGGGGTCCATTATTATACAACAAACAACAGAACCCAATGGTTGTGAAAATTCAGAACTCTTTTCGCACCTGCAAAACATGAACAAACAGGCCAAGTGACAGAAGGGCTTATACATCAAGGCACATCCTGCACTCATGACTCAACAAAGAATGAGTTATTAACAACTAAATACAACTGTTAACAGTAACTGTAGTCCTGGTATTTCCAACAGGTCACCGCCGTAAAACCATCAGCAGAACAACTTTCTCTTTTTGTCCCTTCTCCATTTCGTGACGGCTGGTGCAAGAGATACTTCCCTTACAGGAGGCCCCAGAGCCAGCTGCATCAGAGTGTCCAGCCGCTGTGATGACAGACGGTTTCTGTGGGACCTCTTTATCAGGTTTTGTACACTGAAGCCCCTCTCAACAGTTGCTGTTTGGAGGGGCAAAAGGACAGCCACTTGTGCAATTTTGCACAGGTTAGGGAATGTGTCAGGGTGTCTTGAAGTCAGTATCTGCCATAACTGACAGATGCTAGTACATGGATAATGTTGCTGATGCACCATATCCTTGCACATTGACCATTCTCTCAAGGTCTCCTCAGCATCTACAAAGGCCTTATCACCAAGACTGTAGAAGTCAATGATATTTTGAAGCTGCTCCGTTCCCCAGTGTTTTCTAGCATCTGCAACAACAAATCAAACTTTCATAAATATTACCGTATTTTCTTGAGTATAATGCGCACCCATGTATAATGCGTACCCCAAAATGAGACCAGTTACAGAGTTGTGAGATGTTTGTATCTTCAAAATCTGAAATGGCTGCTTTTTCTTAAAAGAGCAGACTGAAAAATATTTAATTTGCTTAAAATGAATCTCGTCTAAAATAGTTTGTGGTTTTTTTTGCAAATATCTTGTGAATGTATTGTAGTTTATTGAAACCTTGCCTGTTTTCACCAGGATGACACATTTTACAGTTGTATTACCTTCTGACAAGAAAGACAGTCCCCTTAGTGACAGTACTGACATGCATGTCACAACATCAGTAGCCACAGCTGGGAATCTGCACTCAAGCTCGCTCATGAGATTTTGAAGGAAAGCAGCTCTAATATTTGAGAATTGCTTCTCAATGCCAGCCTCTGATGATATTGGGACACCATCAAACTCGCGGCTTCCCCTAGGACACTGACTTTCAAACTGGACCAGTGCAGGACCATTGTCTTCCTTCAAATACTGCAGTCGCTAGAACAGAATAACATTCAAAATTAGACTTTAAAATATATTATCAACCATGAGCTTTACTTTTTTATTAAGTAAATGGATCCCTAGTCAGAGCCTATTGATTGTTTCAAATTTGAAGATAATTTTGCTTAAGATATTGTTTGGTTTAAATTGAATGCAAACATATAACTTTATGACACCTGTATAACAGCATCAATGGATGGCCTTAGTGCAGCAAGATCTATGTCATCCTTCTGAAACTGGAGGCTTAGCCTGGTCATTGTGGGGATGATGTCCACCAGAAGGTGAAGGACAAGGAGGAACTTGTATGAGGAAATGCGTTGCAAGATGCCTTTCGCAGTACTGTTGTTGGTTTCAACACGCTCACTCTCTAGGAACAGAGCCAAGGGCTTCCAAGTTCTGAAACATAAATTATAGATCAATATTCTTTATGTAATTCTATTGTATAGATTAAGATTTTGTAAGAACTTCAAGAATATATATTAATTTTTATTACTTATTTTTAGCTCGAAACTGGAGAGTATATTTTAGAAAATGTAACTTACCTAAATACAGCCTCCAAAGCACTGTAGATTGAGAACCATCGGACATTGTGAATCTCTTTGTAAGTAACATTGTCGAATTCAAGTACCTCCTCTAATGCATAAAGACGCTCCCGTCTGACAGAAGATTTCTTGAAGAAATAAAATACGTCCGATAGAGTGCCTTGAAATTTCTTCAGGTAAGGAACTTTTTCAGCAGCCTGGCTGGTGACTAGAGCAAGGCGGTGAGCAATACAGTGGACACCCACAACAGGTACAGCTGACTCCTTGTTGAGCAGTGCCACAAAACCATTGTTCCGTCCAGTCATAACAGCAGCCCCATCTGACCCCACAGCTATGATTTTGGACATCGGAATACCACGATCAAGTAAAGTTTTCTTAACAGCCCCTAGGAGAGTATTAGCCTTGCCATCAGGAATTTGCACATTTGCAAGAAAATTGGTTTCAACATCAAAGGATGAAGTGAGTGATTTCGTGTATATCAGGAGCTTCTTTGTAACTGATATGTCTGTGCTTTCATCAATCAATATGGACAAACAAGGACTGGCACTGATCTTGTTGGTTACTGAGTCGCGAAGGGAATCAGCAATGGCATATTGCATGTCGTCAACTGCACAGTGAGATGTGTATTTCATCGAGTCTGAATCACCACCTAATGTTTTTGGAAATGACAAACCATGCAGCATGCATAATTCCATCAATGCAGAACATTTGGATGAGGCAATTTGTTCCTTAGCAAGCCAATATATGTTCAACATTGCAGATCGAACTGCATATTCTTTGTCACTCAGCACTTTTGAGACAACTGTGGACATCTCCTGTCTTAGACATGTAGCCTGAACAGCAGATTTGTGGTCATCAGCTTTCATGTGCCTGACCAGTGTGGAATGCCTATAATTATGGCAGCCAACAGTGAATGCGTTGGTTTTGGTGTCACAAACACAAACATCACAAATCATTCCAAGTGAACTGTCAAAACGTAACCAGTTGTATTTCGTTAGCCAGTCACTTTGGAAACGTTTTTCCACTTTTGCCTTCTTTGGTACAGGTTCCTTATGTGTGTCATTTGATCCAGATTTGTCAATTTGTATCGGTATATGACTGTCATTTTTGCCAAACCAAGTCACTAAACTTGCCTGTATACGATGGCTGGTCATCGCTGTAGCTGTCAAAACTTTACTATCGTATCGTAGTAAACTTCCTTATAAGGATATGACGTGTTTCACAGAACAAGGTAAAATGACAAACTTACGTAGATATTGATCATATATTCACATACAGTGACAAACCTTTTGAAACAATAACACGTAAAGTCTGTTGTAGAATAACTAAATATCTAGAGTCGGCTAAATAAAAACAAAACTCACATTCAAGTTTTCACATTTATTCTTTATGATATTCACGGTCGCTCGATTTCGCGGGCCTGTTACCACGTTCTGAAGTATACCCTTGATGTGAATATTTTTAGTTTGACACACGGTCGGGATATTTTCGACCAATCATCAAGCTAAATGAATTACGACTGTATCCGACCTGCTTAATATGGGGCACCTGATTGGCTGAAGCAAAGCTACGGACCATACCGAACATTAATATATGCAAAACCGAAAATAGATATAGGTCAAGAAACCGGTTTGGGTATTTGTCATAAAAAGGGAGAGAATAATGAAACTGGTTTGGTATAGCAAACGGAAGTGTTAATCAACATGCTTCGCTGTCTTGTTTGGCAACAAACTTTAACGTAAAGACGTACGTCTTTGAATCACGATAACAGTGTCAAATCGGTATGAAATTAATAACGCCCCAGTCACTGCGTCCACGAGACCCACACATGTTACGCAGGTGCGTTCAAACTTATTTTTGTGCGTCCAAGACGCAAAAACGTGCTCTTCAGCCAACACTGGTGAGTATTGAATCTAAAGGTAGGGATAAACAGCTGATAAAGTAAGTGACTGTACAAGAATTTTTTTTATGAGGGGCGATTTGATTTTTTTTAGCGTGAATTGCGCAATCGCAATTGCGTATTGAATCTAAAGGTAGGGATAAACAGGTGATAAAGTAAGTGACTGTACAAGAATTTTTTTTATGAGGGGCGATTTGATTTTTTTTAGCGTGAATTGCGTAATCGCGCAATCGTGCAATTGCGCGGCCTGGGTTGGACACTGTAATAGTCTTTAATTGGTCTTGCTTCAATGTTTTGAGAGTATACATCAGCCTTATTAAATGTATATTGTATGGCATAAATATCTTGGTAAGAGAAATGCTATCCCTTTTAATAATTTGGACCCCCTCAAGGGTTGCAATGGGTGATGCTCCTACATAAATAATACTACAACGTTGACGTTGGTGTTTCTTGAGCCATTTAATTGATAGACCTGGTAATCTTTCGAAGGCATCTCCCGGTGCATCTCCAAGCAAGACTTCAATAATAAATGTAGAAAGATTAGGTATAGCACTCAAGTTATCTTTAATATCATTGAATTCAGTTACCAAATTTAAACTAACATATTTTACTGCCGGACGACTAAATAACATTTGACCTGGGTTTTCTGGCAGGGGAGAGACTAACACACTTTTTCATTTTGATGGGATATAAGCCCCGAGAACAATCCCACAATTTATTATCTTAGTTAAATTATGTGCCTTACCCATCATCACATAAGGTTGGTTAATGACGATATTCAGTAGCCACTCGATTTTTGCTTCAATCATAGTCGATTTATAATCATCGTTGCGAGTAAGATTGTATGAAGTGTAATGAGTCTACTAACGTCAACATCGCTTAAATCTCCTAGATTACATGTGAATGCAACTTCTTTCCGCTTGTATACATTATCTTGTAAGTGTAAAGCGTATTGGTACCGGGTTTACCGAATCCTTCTGTGTCTCCAAGATCAGAAAGCGCAATTGTATTACATTGTCTGAGTGTTCCAGGGCCTGATGAATCAACCATTATTTATAATAGTGTTACACTCAAGTATCCTACATGTACAGGTTGATGTTTTACATCTAATACAGAAATTTTGAGGTCTGAAATAATACCCCGCTTTAATTTTTTATATTGTAATGATGAGAAAGATTCTGTTCTACCACTATTATATTTTTCTTCTTTGACTGGAATAGTTTTCAGCAGAGTAGAAGGACTTTCGAGTTGAATATTATCCGTTGTACTGATCTGATCAAGAGGGATGCACAACTCTTTATAGGGAACTAAATCGGGTAATTTAATTCCATGCACTATATCGTTGGGTGGTATTATTCACGTTTCACCTTCAAATCCTAGTGTTTCTGCTAAGATCTTGGCAAGAAATACTTCCTTTTCTCCAGCGCTTAATTTCTGCATCCCATTCGACTCATTTTGTGTGAGACTAATTCCATTAGGCTTAAAAATTTCATCAATGAGTGAGCATACGCTGTAATACCCATCAGGTATAACAATGCAAGTGTGATCATTACCTATTTCACCTATTAAAAACTTATTATTTTCTCTCACATCATTTATATGGTCCACCGCGGGTAATACATTACATCGCACAGGGCGACTTCAAGTTGACCAGCCGAGTTATCGATAGTATGAAGCAGTTGAATAGACTGACCATTTGTTATTCCCGGGAGTGTGACATACATATTAAATATACAATGATACTATATCATAACTTAAATATGAAATCAAGTTACATCACTGATCAGTCGATTTTAGTAAGTGCCTCTGGTGCAAATTTTGTTGTTGAATTCCCTGATATCTTTGAAAAATATAGGGTCACAGCCACTAGCGATAAAATGGTGCACGATTGGTTTCACAATCCAATGCAATTTTGGCAGAACCAGTTAAACTTTGCCATATGGTGTGGCACAACAGGATGTGGTGTATCTCTTTATGCCCAGGATTTGAACTAAATAAGTCTGTTTTATCATTTCACGTGTACTATCAGATTAGACGTATTCTTAAAGAAATTAGTGCAGGATCGAGCATTGAATGCATCAAATAATCTGTACAATAGGTGGGCATTTGAACGTATTTGTCAGAAATTTAATGTTTCTATGAGTAAAGATTGGCGTATTAAAGGACTTAACCATGGTCTAGGTATTCGGTACGCTGGTGCACACTCTGTTAAAGAAGTCAGCGATGATTTACTGAAAAGAGGACGGCTGCTTCCGAGCTTTGCTCTCTCAAGTAACGAGTGGAGAGACGATCGTATAAACTTTAAGGGTGTGTTGCTTTCACCGTCCAAAAGGTTGAGCAACCACCTGGAAATGCTTGGAATCAATTTCTATATGATAAAACAGAAAATAATTTTACTAACCCAAGAGTTGTAAGAGTTAATGAATCAATAAGAACTTATGTATGGGCAATTCTCGGTGCACAATCGCGAGCACGAGCGGGAATAATTGGTTCTGGGACGGCGCTCGATGCGCAAAAGCAGCACCTGTTCAGTATACATCTAATACTTGAAACAAATAAAACTTTTCATTCATCTTAATAACTTCAAGTTATCGTGTATGCTAATAGGTCTGCAAGCAGGAATGTATCTACCATTAGTTCTTGAATAATCACCAGATGTTTGTGTAGTTTGGCAGGGCCTCGTTCCTCAAAGCGATCTTAGCGTTATGATAATCGTAAGCCTATGTTAAGGTATGGGACTTACGATCACCTTAGTGCTAAGATTGATTTGAGGAACGCGGCCCAGGTTTTAGATGCAGTTTTTAAGCAGTGTTTATATTTTCAAAGCAGGTAGCAACTACGCATTGATAGTTTTTCGCAACATTTTTACATCCAGTGTTGCAACTGATGTACAATGCACATGTTACAGCTTGGACAGAGAGTTACACAGACTACACTGTGGTGCAGGAAGGAGACAATGCCACAGTCACCTGGAAGATGCCTCTGTCTGAAGGTTGGTTCAATGTCAAGACTCCTGGCGGTGGAGAACTACTGCGTGTTAAGTCTACTGACATCTGCATCTGGGATAGCACCTACTTGTCAAGAGTGAAGATCATGGGAGTTATCAGATCGACTGCTGCCATGGTGGTGAGGTTTACTCTCTACGGTGTTACAACAACTGATGCTGGCAAGTACTACTGTACAGGGGCGACAAGCTGTGAACACGTCCTGGTTGTCACACGTAAGTACTCTACATAACATGCATGTTTTCATCTAAAACAGCCAACAAAACAATAACATTTATGCACACGTTCACCCTTAGCTAATTATATGTGCACGACAAATTGATTAGATATGATATAATCAGTCCATATTACCAACACTAAGTGTGTGATGCAAACCCAAAAGTTTTGATTATAGATGGTCATTTTCTAAAATATATTCAGTTAAAGCATTGAATAGAAATGTACATTACCTTCTGGAATGAATTCTGAGAACATCAGCACATTGTTGTATAAAGTACAGACGGGCATTCACATTTATATCTTATTAAAAAGAAATCAATACTTGAAACATCAATCATACATCTCACTATGGTTCTACGGAGACTTGGTTAAGCCAGTGCATACATTAAACAGGTCATATGTTTACTTTGGATATTTCCCCTATGCTCAGTGCCTAATATTAATAAGACTGTAGACATGATTGACATCTGCATTATCACTTGCTCAGCAACTCTAAAATGAAAATCATGAAAACTCAATAGTGTCTGAAAACAATATGCATAATAAATAACCTGTCAGACATTTGACCTGCGTTACTGAAAACATATTGTCCGATGTCAGTCTCAGACTCAGACTTGGTTCTTTGAAACAACCTGAAAATATTTCACTACAGTCTGTTTGACTCCAAATGAGAACGATGAATTGCAAAATAACTCGAAATCCAGAAAAGTGCGTGAAACATCAATATGGTACATGACCATGAATACACTGTACCCAACAAAATCTGAATTTTGTTTATTTTAAGACCCATGACGGATGAAGTTCTTTAAGAAACGATCATGTAATTTTGTATAGAAATGTGTACATGACACGTAGGGGGGACAAACCGTGGAAGGCACAGCGCAAGCACGCATGCACTGCACGTTCTGTGGTAGGGGAAATGACAGAGTGTTAGAGGGGCCGTCTCATGATAATTTCGACCTGTGGGCCCTGATTTAGGGAAATCTGAATGTTTAACTGTTGTCTGGAAGATACCGTTCCTGTCCAGCTC